AGAAAATGCTACATTCCTAGTGGAAAGTAGGCAAACATGTGACCACCTAGTAGAAGAATCAATTAATACCATAAAATAACGAAATATTCCACATGGTGGGTATACTGGCCCACATATATTTTCATGAATTCTTTCCAACAAAATTGGAGATTCAATATTGACATTTGTAGTTGAATGTCTAATGACTAACTTGCCTTACGAGCAAGCCACACATAGATAATCATTCGGTTCTTTAAAGGATGTCCATGTGAATTGTTTATTATTCAACGCATCATTATAGCTCTTGGATGTCCAAGTCGATCATGCCAAAGTATAAAACTTTTTGGGTCAACGAACTTCTGGTTCGTGACATTATTCGATTCAACCATTTTTATAAATGAATAATACATACCAGATGGAAGTGCATAAAATTTTTCTTTTATCTGCTTCTGACTGATATAAAAGAAGTTATGCATAGATATTCGACATTATTTTCTTGCGTCGTTTCAATATAATATTCATTGCAGTGGATATCTTTAAAATTATGCAAATTTATTCTGAATTTGCTAGAATAAAGTGCATCGTCAATATATAATTTTGTATTATTTGACAAAATAATACAAACTCTTCCGGAGCCTTCAACGATATGCGATGCACCCTATATTGTATTAACATTATTTTCTTTTAATGTTAAGTCCAAAAATTATTTTTTGTCTTGAAGAATAGTACGTGTAATTGCACTATCAATCAAGCAGGTGTCTTGACAATCGATCATGAATCTATCAATATAATAAAATAGATATATTTAAAAAAAAACTTGAATTTAAATTTAAAATAATAACGTAATGAAATCTGTGAAATTAACAATGTATATTATAGTTCAAAATTTTTGCGAAAAGTAAAAATATATTTCAAATTAAATTTTTAAAATAAAGGGAAATGTTAGAAACAAAAAAAAAGTCCAATCTATATCTTCCATCACACCACCCCTAAATCAAATGGTCAATATTCATATTTGGATCAGCAAAGAAATCAGAGGCATCCAAATGAGTCACATGAATTGGATTATCATAGTCAGCAAAATTTGTCTCCACTTTTCCCTTTTCCTTGATTGATTTTTGATAGAGATCCACAAGGTGTTTTGCCATACGATATGTACGTGTCCAATGCCTTTTCATTCCACATCTAAAACAACTTTCTTCATGTACCTTTTTAGGTGTGTTACTTTCGTTTACTTTGTACATTTTGAAATTGTTGTCTTATTGTTGATAACTTTATTCATTATTTCGTCCATGGTTACTCCGCATGCACGTCCGCGTCCACGTCCAAATCTATGTCCAACTTCACGTCCATATCTTTGTCTTGATATTCCATTTGCTTCAGGCAATGCAGTACCATTTGCTTCAGGCACTGGTACAAAACCAGTTGGACGTAGCCCATGATTTTTTATCAGTAGTTCATTATTCTGTTCAGCAACAAGAAGGTAAGATATAAGTTTTGAGTACTTTTTGAAACCACGCTCGCAATATTACTGCTGCAGGAGCACATTCGAGGCGTGAAATATGGAAAAAGTTTTCTCCAACATATCTTCATTAATGATTTTTTCTCCACACAATGTTAATTTTAAACATATTATGAACAATTCAGAATTGTACTTTCTACAATTTTGAAATCTTGCAAACGAAGGTGCATTCACTCATAGCGGGCTTTGGGAAGGAATATAGTCCTCTGATGATCAAATCTTTCAGTTAAATTTTTCCAAAGAACCTGTGAATCTTTCTCAGTAAGATATTCAATTTTCAATCCATCGCGGAGATGATGATAAAAGAAGATGAGTGCTTTTGCACGATCCTGCACGAATTCTTTGTTTTCTTCTTTTATCGTCCCTCCCAAATTTTTTGAGACAAGATTGATATCGCCATCAAATACCCATGACAAATAATTTTTGTCAGAGATGTCAAGTGCAGCCAACTCAAGTTTTGTGATATTTTCATTTAATTAACTACACAATAAAGTAAGAGAAAATATAATTAGTTTTGAAAAATATGATTAAACATCATTTAATAATCAATCAAGTAGTCAACATAAGTTACGTGTTTTCTTTCAAGAATAAACACTAAAATAATATATTTTTCGAAACATATGCTACTTCATGAGCACGCATTTTATTATTATTTCTTCAAGATCAATATGTCAATATTTTTCTGAAATATTGAAAAATATAATTTATACTTTTCAGGAGCAAGTAATATTTTTCAAGAATATTACTATGCAGAATATTACTTTTGATGTTGTGTTACTTTAGGAGCAACAACAAATCATTTATAATGGACAGTTTAATAATTAATATTCTTCTAGAATATTAATTATAAAGTTGTGTTACTCCAAGAACAGTAAATTGATAGAATATTAATTTAAAATTTATAACAGGACATCTAAAGTTATTTAGTCATGTTAAAAAAATTAATTACTCTATAAACATGGATACTCAATAATCATCATAGACGTATATATTTTACGAACAAAGAATACGCATACAAGGCAATTATTTTGCAATGAATTCATAAAAAGTATTAAAAACATATTGAATAGATGTGCGTAACTACTAACATATTACCGTCCATTGAAGTCGGCAAATTATAGTTAAGCAATCAATTAGATACCTATAATGACATAAAAAAAACAAAAAACAAAAAAACTCCAAAATTGGAACTAAAATTGGTGAGTGAAATAAAAATATTATAGTTAGAATTTAGATTATCGTGGGCCTAAACCTTTACTCTATTCGAACAATTAATTACTCCTTGAAATACTATCACATAGCAATACAGCAAAAATATATGAAAAAAAATCAAAGTGAGCTTAAATGTCACATCTGACATCTTCTTGTGTGATTAAAGAGACAAACCAGCCCCCGAGCACATCCAAGTTGGCGGAACAATCACACTGGGGGCTCTGGAACCAAGAGTGGGGAGTTCGATTCCTGGTGGGAACCTTTGATCCAATAAAGGAGGAATTATTGGTGGATTAATCACTATGGAAGAAGACTCCCTTTGGAGAAGAAGTAAAAGTCGTGTGGGAATCTGGGAATCAACAAGGGCACATCCCACGATTTGCCTTCCTGAGCTGCTGAGGGGCCGGAGGTTCAGGGACGAGAATATAGTCTAGCGCAAGCTGGAACACCTCGTTTAAAAAAAAAAAAAATAAATAAATAAAAAAAGAGAGACAAACCAACAAAAAAAAAAAAAATAAATAAATAAAAAAAGAGAGACAAACCAACAAAAAAAAAAAAAATTTATTACACCATCACGGGACCCGATACACAAATTTATTAAAAATTGTACCTTTTTTCAGAATTGAGTTTAGGAAACTGTGGATGCAGAATGCGTGGCGAAACATTGTAAAACATAAAAGAAATTATAACCTGTGTCGAATTCGTTTAGTTAAAAAAAAAAAATTGCGGACAGCGTATTCACGTGTAAAAAAAAACATGTGATAGATGATTATACTTAAAAAAAAAATTACTAAATTTACTAAACTTTTTAAACTTTCGTGTTGTGAAAAGAGAAGAGAGCAGAGAGAAGTCAATAGATTTGTGTATATTTTATTAAAAATCAAAGTCCTGTATTTATAGGATAGAATTAGGGATACAACAGTAATTATTTCTAGTGCTGCAAGGGTATTATTGTCATTCACTCTAAACCCAAATAAATTTGCCTTTTACAACATTTCCAAAAATATAACAACTTTTAGTCCTTATTTGAGCTCCATTTTTCCATCAACATGTATCCTTAACCCCCTGTTTGCATTTTTTGGAAATGAAAATGGGTGGAATAATATTTTTTGAAAAATGAGTAGTTGAAAAAGAAATAAGGGTGCGTTTGATTGCACATATTTTCCATGGAAAATGGGTTTTTTTCACCTAATTTTCTACTTTTGTCTTGTTTGATTAACAATTTTTTCTAAGGAAAATATTTTCCTTCTTTTGGTCACGTGACCTCATTTTCCCTGAAAACAAGGAAAATATTTTCCTTGGGGGAGGTGGATTTTATTTTCCATGAAATTTTATCTCTCCAAAAATTCTAGTAACCAACCCACGTTAATCTCTCTCACTCTCATCCCTACGTTAAAAAAAATCTCTCTCTCTCTTCTCTCTACCCCTTACAAATCTCTACCCTCTCTCTTATCAATTCAACCGAGCCAGAGGAAGAACTCACGATTCTCTGCTTCTAGAGCTGGGTAATCATTCCAAGAATCTGGGTTTATGGTATTTTCTCGATGACTTTGACAATCATCGCCGCCTAAAACTCACCGGCTTACGAAGTATCCGATTTCCACAAGGATTGTCACGCGAATTTTACCGTTCAGATCACTACGGTAAGTTTATCTAGCCGTTTATATCTCCTTTAATTGTCTATAAATTGGATCGCCTAGCCTTGTTCATCAATCATTAGGAAGCCGGTGGTCCGGGTTGGTATTATTTTTTGGTGTTGCTGTTGTTATCGGTGGTCGTGTGTCATTGATTGCAATTATTGGATTGAGCATAGGAAATTCGATTGTACTGATTGCTGGTCATCTTTTGTTTGTTAGTTTGGATTTTAGAGAACTGGATGACTATAATTTCATTGTTTACTGATGATGTTTGAGAACTTGATATATTTTCTTTGCGTTGATATGTAAACAGCATTTGATTGAGATGAGAACATTAAGACGGGTTTCTAGTAAAACAAGAAGGTAAATAGGTGAATTGGTGAATATGGCATCTATGAAGGATAAGTTGAGAGAGGATCAGTTAAGATGGCTTTGGATACCTCCAAAGAAGGATATGCCAGTTAAGATGAATTGAGATCCCTACAATGTTAAAGTTATTTAAAACATAATTGTTATAAAACTCAATCAAATGATTTTAGTCCAGCTAGATTTGGGGTCAGCTACATAAATACTAACTTTCAAATTATGCAAATTCCACTGTAATGCCTACAAGTCATCATATAGTTCTTCAATACATAATTGTATGACCCTGCTGATAGCAGTGCACAACATCACATCTAACTCGTTACCCCCACATACAAATAAGCTCATACTGTATCCATGCATACTGATAGAATACCATCTGTTAAGTTTTCATTCATAATATTACCAGATAAACACAATGACAAGTAAAGGAGCTGTGAGAATAATGAAAAACTTGTGCCATATGTACCTGTACATCTCCAGCAGCAAATACGCCTTCTACAGAAGTCTTTGCAGTGCCTTCCTCGACCAAAATATAGCCTGCTCCATCAAGATCAACTTGTCCTTCCAACAACTGGCTATTTGGTGAATGACCTATTCCATAAAACAAGCCTTTTACCTCCAGCACTGATTCTTCTTGAGTGTCCCGGTTTTTAATCAAAATACCCGACATCTGCCCTTTCATATTGCTGACGACATCCATAGTCTCTGTATTGAAGTGCACGGTGACGTTTGGGTTGTTAAAAACTCTGAAACATTCGCCATAATCAACCTGTTAAACAAATATCCACGGAGTTGAAACTTAAAACACATTGCTCATCAGTAATTCAGTTCACTTGAAATGATGCTTAAACAAATAAAACACAAAACATAGAAGACATAGCAGCAGCAGAATGACCATGAGGGCAATCAACAAGTTGAAAAACAACCATTATAATGAAACAAAAACCTTCATGGTTCATGCATATCTTAATGCAACAAAAAATCTCTTAACATATTTTAAGGCAGATTGTATCATTTCTAGTTTATAATCATCTCACTGTGTTGGAGACAGTTATTTTATTGCTTAGATTTTATTGTACCTACTATTAATCTCTGATTAGAGAGATAGTTGAAGATTTACAAGTAGCTTAACAATTTATGTCCTTGGGTTTATGTTCTTGATTCTATTAATTGGGGTATTACTGTGGTGCGAATGAGGTAGGGAAGCATGAAATTGAAAAAAATGACTTTAAGAATTCTAATATAACCAGTTGACATTATGCTTGGAAGTGCATGCCATGACTTTCTATTATGATGTGGCTACAGTTAACTTTTTATTCTGTAATGCTTTTATGTTATTCTTTCTAAACAAATCTTTATTTACCGTGGTAGTTTATAACATGGCTACAACAACGAATCAACGTCGATGCCGATGACAACATTTAGGTATATTTTGGACGATGGTCATGCAAGCGATTGTGATATATAACGAACTTAGGCGTCGTGCACGACATCTTCCAAGAGCTCCTCATACAAATTGGAATTCTGAAAGAGAAATAACACTTACACAAATGTTTGGCACGAGTGATACAATATGTCGTGATCTCCTTAGGATGAAAATAGGTCCATTTCAAAGATTATGTGCTCGTTTGCGATCTTATGGATTGGTTGACAGTAAATACGTTCGAATTGAGGAACAAGTCGCAATTTTTCTGAATACAGTCGGGCATGACCAACGTAATCGCGCTGGACGTTTTACTTTCTTTCGCTCTGGTCAAACAGTGAGCTTTTACTTTCACAGAGTCTTACACGCTTGTCTTGGATTGTATAGAGATGTTGTGATTAATGCCACTCCTCATAACTCACCATACGAAAAAGAAAATGTGCAGCCATGGTACTCCTTTTTTCAGGTTAGTGGTTTGTAGTTATTTCATCACATTTCTTAAAAATTCAATATTCACATTTATTTTGAAAAATATTGTTTTTTAAAGGATGTCGTAGGAGCAATCGATGGTACACATATAGCTACGTATGTGCCTTTAGAGGAGCAAGGTAAATATCGCAATAGAAAGCAAGTGATTTCCCAAAATGTTTTAGTAGCTTGCACATTTGATATGAAATTTACTTACGTGCTTGCCGGTTGGGAGGGATCCGCACATGATGGTCGATTGT